GGCCTGCACTGCTAGCTACCTGTTCAAGATAGCAGCGCACCATCCAGGAATGATCCAGGAAAGTGGTAGCGTGATATAAATTATAAAATAAATTAAATGCTATTTAAATGCTACCATTTTCATGAACAAAATTTCTATTTTCATCTTTTTTTCGCATATTTTTTAGAAACAATAACGCTGTGCACTGCTACCTTTATGCAGTACATATATTGAGTTTTCATGAAAGAAGGAGTTGGTAGAGTTTTCGACATAGGAATAATTTAGTGCTAATTAAATGCCAAGTTACCAAATTTTGTGCTCTTGTAGTTTCCGAGATGTGGCATGCACTGCTAGCTACCTGTTAAAGATAGCAGTGCACCACGTTGTTTTTAAAAAAATATGCGAAAAAAAGCTGAAAATAGATATTTTGTTCATGGAAATGGTAGCATTTAATTAGCATTTAATTTTCTTCATCATTTGTATCGCCCTACCATTTTCCTGGATCATTCCTGGATGGTGCACTGCTATCTTAAACGGGTAGTTAGCAGTGCAGGCGATATCTCGGAAACTACAAGAGCACAAAATTTGTGAACTTGGCATTTAATAAGCACTTAATTAGCACTAAATTATTCCTATGTCGAAAACTCTACCAATCCCTTCTTTCATGAAAACTCATTATGTGACATGTGTACTGCATAAAGCTAGCAGTGCACAGCGTTGTTTTTAAAAAATACTCGAAAAAAAGCTGAAAATAGAGATTTTGTTTATGGAAATGGTAGCATTTAATTTTTTTCATAATTTATATCACCCTACCACTTTCCTGGATCATTCCTGGATGGTGCACTGCTATCTTTAACGGGTATAGCAGTGCAGGCCATATCTCGGAAACTACAAGAGCACAAAATTTGGTAACTTGGCATTTAATTAGCACTTAATCAGCACTAACTTATTCCTATGTTGAAAACTCTACCAATCCCTTCTTTCATGAAAACTCACTATGTGTACTGCATAAAGCTAGCAGTGCACAGCGTTGTTTTTAGAAAAATATGCGAAAAAAAGCTGAAAATAGAAATTTTGTTCATGGAAATGGTAGCATTTAATTAGCATTCAATTTTCGTCATCATTTATATCACCCTACCACTTTCCTGGATTATTCCTGGATGATGCACTTCTATCTTTAACAGGTAGCTAGCAGTGCAGACGATATCTTGGAAACTACAAGAGCACAAAATTTGTGAACTTGGCATTTAATTAGCACTTAATTAGCACTAATTTTTCCAGTCATAAAAATTTTGCACTGCTGACTTTGCACTTCTAACTTTATATACGTAAGAAAAACCCCTTTTTGAAAATCCAGTGGGTTTTTGTTTTTGACACAAAAGCCTTGACAAAAACCCACCATCAATATTGAGAAAAACGGAAATATCAATCGAAAATTTAGGAATATTCTGAGCAATAAATTATGTAAAGAATTTAACAGGGTAGGTACCAAAAATAAGCTAAATTATTGAAATAATTTTCCTAATCCAGGCTTTTAAATTTGTTTTAAATGTTCATAATTTCATAGTCTGAAATAGACTACATTTGGATGGAGTGAAAAATCAAAGCAGTAAAGAGAAAAAAATTACTCCACTACACCAACATTCTTGCTCTGGCTCTGAGGAATTCAAAACTTGGCTTCAAAAGTTATGAACCTATGAAGCTTCTTCTCGAACCTTTCTGTACTTGAGGCACAAAAAAATATGAGCAAATCATAGAATCTGAAATCAAAGTTGAAATGCTCAAAAGCTCTATGTTTGTCAGCTAAGGCTATATTTTAGCTCTAAATTTGACAAAATCAAAATAGCTGTAAATATTTATTTATTTATTTATTTATTAGCAATAGAATAGAGTACATAATACATTATCAATGGTTAATCTAACTTAAACTAAAGCTAACAACTTCAGTGCACAATGGTATTCAAAATACTGTGTGTGCACCAGATTTACCTATCATTTTAATAAATTGAGGTTGAGGTTAAAATTTAAAATAAATTATTCATTACCTTCCTTTCCCAAAAATACAATAAATTCCCTATACTAACATATTTCCTATCTTTTTAATTTTTAATTAAAAATAATAGTACATTTTGATATAAGTTTCACACCATAAACGTAATACTATATTTGGTTTCAACTATCCATTTTATTATTTCCTTTTTGATTTTATGATAGGGTCTACACTTTATCTCTTGTATAGGATGAGCCTATAGAATCTAACTTTTTCTAGAAGATTTCATTTCTAGAATCGAGTCTAGAATCTTCAAAATCAAGTTCAAAATCTTGTCTATTTAAAATACACATGAGTCTGCTTTGAATCTGAGATATCTGCAAATACATATAAGCAAATCACAGAATTTGAAAATAAATTCAAAATAAAACTAAAGTTAATGACGATAAATTTTGGATTATTCCTCGGATTATTCACATTTTCCTCATCCATATTAAACAAAATAAAAATCCCATGGGAAAATAGTCAAATAATATTAATCAAACAATTATTCTTAGATACAGAAGTAAACATCAAAAGGAAATTTTCTCCAGATAACTACTAGTATTAATACAAAATCCTACAAAAACACTAGAAAACAATAGAAATTTTCAAAAATCCAGGTTTTTACCATCCCTGATCTCCCTAGTTTTTCGTAAACCTCCCAAGATTTCCCTGAAGAGTTTTGGTATCTTTTGTAGGGTGTACACCTCTTGTGAATGACCGAGGTTTCCATACATTTCAACAATAAAAACTATGTTGCCATATTTCAAAAACCAAGTCAAATGGAGGTTCGGCATTCAGGGCTTTTAGTAATTTGCAGACGCTGAATTAATTACAATTAAAGTAAAGAGGGACGTTCATTTAAAAAAGTTAAGTTACATACGGCATCATAGAAAGAGTAAACTTGCAAATACCACCATTGAATCGGACAATCCCAAATATTCTACATTTTTCTTGAGCGCGTTCTGAAATATTAAACTGTTTCCATACATAACAACAACCTTGTATATATCATATTATCATAGTTTTAGATTTATGTACATATTTCTTACATTATTACATAAAATACCAAAGTAAGTACCTGCCTATGTTTGATTTGTACTAACTAATAGGAAAAAACTGGGCATCTACGCCAACAGTCGGTTGAATGAAAATTTCGCATTTCTAATGTGGCAATAAGCCTATGAATATCGGCTTTAGACACTGAGAGGGTGTTTTGAGTCCCATGCTTTTCTGTTTAAATTTCCTTTTTTATTTATTAATTTACTTGGTAATCTGACCTAAGTAAATCTTGCAGAAGATTGTTCATTCTTGTTTGCATTCCCATCACGTGAAAGTGGCCTATTAAAGTAACAATACAATAATAATTTATTGTCTACATAAGACATGTGCAAGTGTCCTTGAGATCTTTCCCTATTTGAGATTATATTGGTTATTTTAGTCATATACAGATTGAATTTCATTATTATGGGTTGTATTTTCTGCCTAATCATCTTTACCTTGCAGACAACTTTTGGTCTGTTGACTTTTCTTCTTGAATGTTATTTCTTTCTATTTATACACCCAATCCCTTATGTTTTAATGTTAATGAATGGCACACAAACAAGTTGTTGAATTGATGTGAAAAAGATGATAAAATTCTAGCTAGTAAATTTAATAAAAAATAGCATTTAAAATTTTGATACTCGAGCTGATGCTTCACTGTGTTGTAATTAGGACAAGGTATGCCAAATTGTCCATGATATTGATACCTATTATTAACTAATAGGTAAGTAAGTTGGTGGCTATAAAAATCAAAATGTGTGTTACCTTCTTATCAGGCCTGATATTTTTATAAAATATATGCATTTACCATAGTCAACTTTTTTATAATTATTAAAATTTTCCTTGAATTTACTATCAAGCAACATTAGGCTGCCAACACATTCCAAGTCAGTGACTCTGTCCTTGATAAATTAACGAGTAAAATCATCTTCATTAATTTTTCAATATGTATGTGACTAAATATAACCAATATGTATAGTACTTTAGTTAGCTGTTGCCTAGGGTGATTTATTTTTTTATAGCTTTACTTAATCATCAGCCATGATTGAATATTTGAACATGAAATGAGCCAGTGTTGCAAAAAAAAAAAACCGTTTTGTTATTTTAATTAGCACTTTGATCCTAAACCTATAATGAATTTTACATATTATGTTCTAAAATTTTCCACTCTTATTTGAAAAAATCAATTTGGTTAGTTTTTAAATGTGCTAAATGGAGTTTATCTCAAATGACAGAATCCTTATAGAGTAAAAATCAAACGAGAAGAAGCCACTGTCATCAGCGCTGACAAAGAAAGCAGATTTGCTTTTCTCTGGGTCCCTCCCATTTAAAGTGAGACAAACGATAACGCGCGTGGCTTCTTCTCGTTTGATTTCTACTCTATTTACTTGTGATTATATTGAAAAGACAATTGCATTGAAATGTTGAAATTGAACCAAGAATTTATACTTTCTATTTAATTTGGATAACAACTCTAAACTTAAAATCCTCAGCCTTGAATTTTTTCAATGCTTAAAGTTTTTTGTTATCTAGATTAGGTAAATACGTTTGATGTACCTGATAAAATCATTACTATAGTACATAATTTTTTTACAACCACATAAAAATACTTTGTAGAAAATAATATGAAAATACTTTTATGAGACCATGTCATAAAAATATTGAATATTACATTCAATTGTAGCGTTACATCATGTCCTAAAATTTCCTCGACATTTATCTACATTTTCTCAAAATATATGATTTATTTAAAATGTATAAGGTTACCGATATGCATCAAAATCAATATTTATTATTAAGTTTGCAATAACATATTCTCGAAAATAATTCGTTTGATAATGATAAGGAAACATTTTCAAGGCAGCAGCTAATTAGAGATAAAAAGTATGCTTCACACTATTTTAGTATGTATTTGCTAAAAACACCAAATTTATTTTGTTTTCAGGTCTTGGATAGCATTTGTCTCTAGGTGTCATTTGTGTTAATTTAAACTGGACGTGCGGCTAAGAGCATGTGGAAAAGGATAAAAACACAGACTTAGATGTTGGACACTTTCTAAGATTTAATCCTTTTGAACTGTGGGTGGATTGTGAGTGTTTCGGAGGACTTATACTGATACACAATACGTTTTTTTGCGTCTATTATTTGAAATTTTTAATTATAATATTATTTGAAAAATTGAATTGCATTAAGTAGTGATTTTTGAAAATTTTGTGAACTTTGGACTTTCTACGACGCGCGAAATGGGGAGCGATAATATTTTTAGTGTGCTTTTTGGGAAGAAGAAAAAGCTGAATACGAGGATTTTGGAACAGAATGAAGGACTCTTGGGAGGTTGGTATTCAAATAGTTTTTATGTAATTGGTAGTTGATATATTCACGCCTTGAATCGATATTTTTCTCATTTGAATCGTTCCACCAATAAAACTTGATTTAAAGTTCCTTTATTTTTCAATTTGCAATACCTATATTTTTCGACAAAGTATTCAGCTGATGTTAAAAATAAACTAATTTTTCCAGGATTTTTTCTTATTAGCCTCTAACTGACTATTTTAGTGAATTTCTAGGAAACATTATTTCAGTATAGAATGTGACTAAATTACAGAAAATATATATTCGTATGTAGGTTGTTCTTATAATTAAAACATTTTTATTGAGCAACCAAATCTTAAAAATAGTAGAAAATAACGTTTCTAAAAATATTCCCAAAATCAGATATTTTTGGAAACTTTTACCGAGACTTTTACTTCAAGAAATGAGTACATTGGTTTTACACATTTTCTATGAAAAATCATAAAAGGGTTCATTCTGGTAAGAAATTTAAAAGCCATATAGCTTTTCATTATTTATTTAAAATAAAAAAACACCCACTCTGAACTTACTGATAAATATTAATATTCATTATTTTTGAGATATTCAAATTTTCAAGGTGATTTTTCTATTTAAAAACCTGCAAAATTTAATTAGAATATTTGCAATAACTAGGTACTTTCAGGAGGATTACCTCCATAAAAATAGAATATTTATAATTCTATGGACGTATTATGTATTCCAAGAAACAAAATTCCTAACCAATAATCCAATAGAAGTAAATTGATTTTCAATTACAGGTTTGAAAATACCCAAAAATCATTGTAAAAATATTCCTAATAATATGTAATTATATTTGGAAAATAATCAATACAAGAGCACAATGGTAATGAAACCTGAATAATAATATGAAGAAAATTTGCCTGAGAAATTCATAATTCTCATTACTTATATTGACCTGAATAGTGAATTTATTTTTACCAGAACAATTCAATTGGTTAAATTGGTTTTTGTTGGTATTGATTGGCTGATTGATGAGTCAGCGGTTTCTTTGTAATTTAGTTTTCTTAATTTTTCTGTTTGTCTTGTTCTTATCACTTATTGATTCAATTTATTCGAGTCACTTGACCGAATCTTTATGGTTCCTATGATATTGAGTAGTGACGCAGTGGATACAACAAAATATAATTTTGATAATAAGCACTGTATTTCTATATCAGAGGCGACTCGACAGCATACCTTGAAGAATGTACCTTCAATAAACTCAATGAGAACATTATAAGAAGCAATAGGAACAAAGGAAAAAATACCAATGAGAAATACTGGTGGACTATTAGTCCAAGAGAAGAAGCAAAAAAATCTGAAATGACCAACAATAAAACATGAACAAGACCTAGAAGTTTATACAGACAGAAAGAGACAACTAAGAACATGCATCACTATAACTAAGGACAAGTCATGGGATAAGAAATGTAAAGAAATTAACACCTACATAGGCGGAAGACAATGCTCAGAGGTATAGAGATTTATATTAAATGTCAAAAACCCAGGAAAGGACAGAGCTAATATCAATATAATCAAACCACAGCAATGTATAGAACACTACAAGAGTCTATTACAAGAAACTAAACCGTATGGGCCAAATTTATTTGGAAACCAATTTGGCTCTGAATATATTTTTTCTGATTTGGCGGTTTTTTTTGAAATTTTGTGTGAATATTAAGGGGGCTTTTCCCTAATTGTTGAACAAATATCTGATCAAAATATACAGGGGGAGCTAAGTAAGAAGCAGTATTTTCAATCATTGCCTTTGAGGCCCTTGCAAAATTGAATTTTTTATTCTAAAATTGCATAAATTATTCAAAAATATTAAGAAAATATCGGAAAAGAGGCTATGAAAAAATGCTATGCTGAAAAACTTCAGGTTTTGTATTATTGGGTAGGAAGACGATTCAAGAGCCTGAAATAAGCAAATTTTGGACTTATACTTCAATGACAGCGACTCAGAATCAACCTTGACTCTAACTTCAAGAGCCAGGAATAGACAAAACTTGAATTCAACATTTTAGAAGTTATTATCATACAAACTCAAACTAATGGCCGTTTCCACCAACTTTTTTAGGGGAGCCTTAACAATAAGTATTCCTTAAAATGACAAGTCTTTCATGGACAAATGTCAGTTGAGGGAACACTTATCCTTAAGGCTCTTCTAAATTAGTTGGTGGAAACCAAGGCAAATTTGAACTTAAACTTCAATGTAGAGAACTCAGAAATAACTCTGAATAAATACATTGACTTAGACATCATGAGCCAGGAATAGGCAAAACTTAAAGTTCAACATTTTATAGCTCAAAAACTACAAACTCAAACTAATTAACTTTATTGTGTGGGAAGACGATTCAAGAGCCTGGAATAGGCAAATTTTGAACTTAAACTTCAATGTCAGCGACTTAAAAATAATAATGTATGGTAATTTATTCAACAAAGTTTTCGAAAAAAATATGCTTTTAATACAAAACCTGGAGTATGCTTGACAAAATTGGCAAATGAGATCTTAACTTTCAGTTCATTAGTAGTTCAGATGGGCTTAGTCCACATGCAAGAGGTGTTGTGCGATAAGCTAGCAAAGCTAAATCCAAGTCTTTAGAATTTTTCTTCACTAAAGTTTTGGCTACTTTTACAGCTCTACTTCTCCGTTAGAAGCAGGATAATTGGGACTACTAGTAATTAAACAAAAATCATATTTTATAGCAAATTCTCTGAATGCGGATTGAAATTGAGGCCCATTGTCAGAACGAATCTGTTCTAGAATCCCATATCTACTGAATAGTTGCTTAAGTTTGCTGATGATGATAGATTCGGTCATAGTTTTAAGTTGAAAAATTTCAAAAAATCTTGAAAAATAGTTGGTCACAATAAGATACCAGATACCATTACAATGGTATAAATCTATACTTAATTTCTGCCAGGAATGTTCAGGAAATTCTTCTTTGAGGAATGGTTTTCTTGGATTATTTCTGAATTCTACACATTCTGGGCAATTTTTGACAAGGTTTTCAATTTATGAAGAGAGACCAAGCCACCATACAGATGCCTTTGCCCTGGCTCTGCATTTGACAACACCTTGATGGCCTTGATGGATAAACTCCTAACAATTTTGCTGTAAACTTGCAGAAATAATAATTCTGGTATTTTTTATCAAAAGATTTTCTTGAAAGCCAATATCAAAACGGTGCGTATAGTAGGGAAGAATTTCATCACGGAGTTTATGTTTCTCGGGCCATTTTTGATAAACAGAACTCTGCAAGTTTCTTGCAAATTGGATCATTAGCTTGTGCCAGAGAAATGGAGATTTAATTTGAACTGAATGAATTACCATACTTACATGAGCATCTGCCTCATGCACAAGCTCATCATCTTCGAGTTTCTGGAGATTCTTGGGAAAATTCCTAGATAAGGCCACGGTAAGATCCTTTCCTGGAACATAGTGGATAACATAATCATAGCGCATGTCTTATTCTGAACCTTTGAAGCCTTGGAGTAAGCTCGTCTAGAGGTTTGGTTCGCAGAACCTGAACCAGAGGTTTGTGATCTGTTTCGAAGATGACAGAAATACCTGTAATATATTCTTTAAATTTATCTGCCAACTATGCTAATGCCAAACCCTCTTTTTCGATCTGAGCATAACAAAATTCTGTTGTACGCAACAAGCCAGAAGTATAAGCGACAATTCCACTCATGTATAAATAATCCCATTTGATATGTCAAAAATCGTAGTTTGCTAGCGGATAAATAGGAAGGAAGAGAAAATATAACTGGATAAAAAAATCGGATAAATTTTCTGTTGATGCAATCGTTACCGTAGTAACAATTGCATATTAAATTGGTTTTTTTACTACTAACCTGAGAAATTGTCATTATTCAATCTATTTTTCTAGGAAAAAATTGAATTTCTCTCCCTAGGTGAATAATGAAAATAATGAAAAAATACCTAGGTTAATAATGAAAATGACGTCATGACTCAAGGATATTGTCATGTTTCTATTGGTTCAATTTCATTTCCATACGTCAATTTGAAAAAAAATACAGGTTTCTGTAGGTACATAGGAAGTTATCATAAGCTGTTGATAGAGGGCAGCACTTTCAAGAGGGCGTTCAAAAAAAAATAATTGGAGCACAGATTTTAAACAAATTTTTCATTTTCTACTAGCAGTAGTAAAAAAAATTCTATATATTCCTCGGTAGAGAAAGTCATTATATACCTCACTCATTATAAACCTCGGCGCGAGCGCCTCGATTTATAAAAGCGCTCGGTATATAAGGACCAACTTCTCTACCTAGGTATATAATATACTATTATTTACGACTAATGTATAATGTGCGTATTATATTTGTGATTTTGGCAGTATAATGACATATGTTATTCCTCCAGGGATTAATGACGAGTAGCGGGATTAATGGTCATTATTCCACAAAAGTGTCAGTGTCAAACGTGTAGTGCTTGTGGATTTGTATTGAAAATTATGAGACGGATGAAATTTGTTCATTGAAAATCTCAAATAAATTAATTTGTCGTAAATAAAGTAGAGTATACTACTCGCAATAATGGCTATTATTCCCTCGGAATGTTACTCCCTCGCCGCTAACGCGGCTCAGTTCGTAATAATCCTCGGGAATAATAGCTATCATTATTGACTCGTGGTAATATCTACTATTTTGAATCATCTGTCAAATAATTGTGTCACAAAAATTCACAAATTCGATCATTTTAGCTTATTAAAAGTGTATTTTAAATAAAATTGGAAATATTTTCAACATGCACCGATTTGGGACAATTAATGATGAAATAATTGATAGCGAAATAGAAAATTCAATTCCTGAGAACACAAAGAGAGTCTTTTTCTCTTTCTGTAGAGTCAAATTATAAGGGGCAAAAATGTATTCTAATTGTACCTTCAATAACTGTTCATTTTAAAAAGTATATCCATATTTTATTTTGATTATGCATTCGTGGAATTGCCGTA